AGTGGGTGAGAGCATAGTAAAAATGCCTTCTAAACATGTAAAAATAGCTTAGTCAGGAACCACAAGGCAGCACCTGATAACCAGAGCTCAGTGACATTACTCACTCAAGATAACCAGACACAGTCCTACAACCCTATGATGCCCACTGGAGAGTATGTAAGCTGAGACCATGAGCAATGTTCTGCTCCACATAGCTGTAGAGACACCACCTTGATCTATCCTGTGGCTGGAGAGTCTCCCCCAGGATCCTGACCCTTGAATCAGAGACTTCCTTTAGAAACTGAGTCTACCTTCAGCAAAGATACATGTTGCACAGGTGAGCAGCCTTGGGGGAGGTAGGCTTAGGAGCATCGTTAGGAATTTAGGACCCTTGGGACCCTCAGTATAATAAAATATAAATTTTGTTATACTAGGCTTATCTACCTTCTTGCTCTTGACAGTATGGGACTGCATTTGTGTTCTCCCCTAGGGAAAAAAGGAAAAAAAATAGGCTGAGTGAACTATGTGGAATAAGCCAGCGAGCATCACTCCTCCATGGCCTCTGCATCAGCTCCTGCCTCCAGGTTCCTGCCCTGTTTGAACTCCTGTTTGGTTTCCTTCGGTGATAAACAGTGATGTGGAAGTGTAAGCCAAACAAACCCTTTCCTCCCCAAGTTGCTTTTGGTCATGGTGTTTCATCACAGCAATAATAGCCCTAAGACAGAAATTGGTACCAACATTGTGGAGTATTGCTGTCACAGACCAGAGGATTTAGAAAGACTCTGGACCTGTGGGCTAGAACAGCCACTGAGTGTCCAATGCTCAGTGAGCTTTTCTGTAAAAGCTTGGAAGAGAAGAATGTTGAGAGCAATGCAGATGATGGAGGTCTGGCCTGTGAAGTTTCAGAAAGAAGCAAAGACTCTACCAGGCCATTTGTGTGAAGAATCTGTGGTGTCTATTCGGGTGTAGCTGAGCAATTAGCGGTGACTAATAAGAGAGCCACATCCCTGATGTCAAGTGTGGGAAGCATTTCCTCAGGGTCAGCACCACAGGTGTGTTCCAGAGGCAGCCCAGGCTGTATCTCACGCTGGCAGCCAAACTTGGTAACAGAAGAGCCACACATACTGGTCGCAAGGCGTGAAGGGGTCATAGAAAGAAGCTGAGGCTTGGTGCTGTGTGGTAGGGCTGGAGTACCTGAAAAAAGCCCAGGAGAGGTTATTGGCAAAAGTGCAGTCGGTTGCAGCAGAAGACCCCAGCATTTTGGAGATGCCAGAACCATGGGATGACCACCAAGAACAGCATAAGAGTGGAGCCAGCGGGAGCCTAGAAGACACACTGTGCTGTGTGTGCAGAGGGCAAAGTTGGAGAAGTGACCCAAGCACTTTGGAGAAGCCAAGAAGATCATAAGTGGACACCAGACACTGAGCAACGAGTCGGTTACAGAAGTGGAGTTTGGTTTTTTATTTTGTTCAGATTGTAGCTGTGCTCTAGTTCTTCCCTCTTAAAGGAAAAAAGTGTGTAACTTATTTTTTTATTTTCTAGGAGCACACAGTTGTTGACTCTGGATTTTAATATGTTTGCATTTGAAAAGACTGGCACTGTCTAAGTTTATAAAATGTTTTATATTCCAACGTTTATATTAATGTGTGATCATCAGGTGAACAAGAAAGGAAAGGCTTTGGCTTAATAGTGATATGTTTGAGGGACAAGTTGACAAGGGCTAAGTTGTGCTAGCTAGTTTTATGTCAACTTGGCACAAGCTAGAGTCACTGGAGAGAAGGAAGCCTCAACTGAGAAAATGCCTCCAAAATATCAGGCAGTGGACAAGCCTGTAGGGCATGGTCTTAATTCATGATTGATGGGGAAGCACCCAGCTCATTGTGAGTGAGGCCAGACCTGAGCTAGATGTCCTGCATTCTGTAAAAATGCAGCCTGGGTGAGCTATGCAAGCAGAACTTCTCCATGTCCTCTGTATCAGTTCCTACCTCCAGGTTCCTGCCTTGGTTGAACTCCTGCCCTGACTTCTGTCAATGATGGGAACAACGATACAGAAGTGTAAGCCAAATAAACCCTTTCCACTGCAAGATGCTTTTGGCTATGGAATTTCATAGAAATAGTAATGAACAATACTATTGTTCACTATGAACAGTAGTGACCCTAACTAGGATACCTGTCCTTCTGGCCTAGAGGCTTATGTGCAATGGCCTCAGGCCCTTGGTCAGCCTGTGCCCTTTTGTAACACTAAATTTTTTATGTATGTGTTTGCATGGTGCTGCACCATAAATGTCAGAGCCTGAGAAGGCCAGACAACAGTGTCAGAAATCCTGGAACTGGAGTTACACGTGTTGTGAGTCACCACCTGGGTACTAGGAACTAAACCAGAGACTCTGCAAGAGCAGCAAAGACCCTTAATTGCTGAGCTATCTCTCCAGTCCGACAGTGATTCTGTCCTTGACGTGCATACCTCCGCACACAGGCCTGCTTGCTTTCTGTCTATGCCTGACAAATCCTTGCTCGGCATAGAGGCAAGGGCTGGTGCTCACCTTGCTGAAGAAGGGAGCATCTTTAAGCATGTTTGAGAGTCAGCTGTTGGATGAAGCTTCTCAGAGGACAGCTATGCTAGCCTCCTGTCTGCAGTCATAGCAGAGTATAATAGTGTCAGGGGTTGGCTTTCTCCTATGGTCTTCGTCTCAAGTTGAGCCAGTCATTGATTGGCATTTCACTCAATCTCTGCTCCATCTTTATCCCTACACTTTTGTCTTTAGGCAAGAGAAAATTGAGTCAAAGATTTTATGTGTGGGTTGGTGTCCTCCTCCCTCCACTGGAAGTCCCACCTGGCTATAAGAGGTGGCAATATCAGGCTCTATAGCCATCACTGCTACAAATCTCAGCTAAGGTCAACCCCATAAACTTCAGGGGGCTTCCCCTGTTCCAGAGATGCCCCCACACACTGATTTCCATTCTCTCCCCCAATCCTATTCTATCCCTCCTCCCAGAATCTGATCCCACCACCTTTCCTTGCCCCACCCCTCTGCAGCCCAGTTCCTTTCCTCCCTCTATTTAAGATGTCTATTTTATTTCCTGTTCTGAGTGAGATTCAAACATCCTCCCTTGGGCCCTCTTTGTTGTTAGCTTTTTGGGTCTGTAAATTGTAGATGGTTATCCTGTACTTTATGGATAATTTAAAAGTGAGTACATACCAAGTGTATCTTTCTGGGTCTGGGTTATCTCACTAAAGATGATATTTTTTCTGGTTCCATGCATTCGCCTACAAATTGTGTAAAGTTCCAGTTTTTAATAGCTGAGTAGTACACCATTGTGTAAATGTACCACATTTTTTGACCCATTCTTCATTTGAAGGACATCTAGATTATTTCCAGTTTCTGGCTATTATGAATACAGCTCTATGAACATAGTTGAGCAAGTGTCTTCATGGTATGGTGGAGCATCTTTCGGGTATATGCCCAGGAGTAGTATAGCTGGGTAATGAGGTAAGACTATTCCCATTTTTCTGAGAAAGCACCAGATTGATTTCCAAAGTGGTTGTACAAGTTTGCACTTCCACCAGCAATGTGGGAGTGTTCTCCTTTTTCTATGTCCTCACCTGCATGAGTCTCAGCCTCCTTCTTATATCAGGAAATGTACTCACGCCTTGATGAAACAGATCCCGGGCCTGCTGACTTCAGATGTTTTTGTCAGAAACCATGAAACACAGTAGAAAGTATCCATTCCCCTGGAACTGGTGGTGGTTACAGGTGGTTGTGAGCCACCATACGGGTGCTAAGACAGGAACCCAGGTCCTTTGCAAGAGCAGTGGCTTCTGAGCCATCTGTACAGCCTCCGCCTGTGGTTCAGACCCATTGCTGATTGTGTGCACATTCATGCCTGTACAAATGAGTGCACTCAGACTTTCTTGCTTTTTTTCTATGCCTGACAAATCCTTACACTACATGTGGGCAGGGGCTAGTGCTCACCTTGCTGAGGCGGGGACACATCTTTCTTAATTTTTAAATTTTTGTTATTAAACCTTATTTCTTCAATGTACATCCCAAGTGCAGGCCCCTCCCTCCTCTCTCCCTATCCTACCCTCCCACCCTCTTCCCCTTTTCTCCCTTTCCCCCTCTTATTCTTCTCAGGAAAGGAGAGGCCTCCCTACCACCCTGTACCGACCCTCCCCAGAACATCAAGCCTCGTTACGTCTGAGCACAGCCTCGTCCACTGAGGCCCGGCAAGGCCCCAGCTGGCAGGAAGTGATCCAAAGCAAGCAGCAGAGTCCACATCAGAGACAGACACTGCTCCACCTGCTGGAGGTCATATGAAGACCCAGCTGACCGTCGGTTACCTATGTGTAGGGGGCCTAGGTCCAGACCATGCATGTTCCTTAGTTGGTGTGTCAGTCTCTGTAAGCCCCCGTGGGTGTGGGCTAGTTGTCTTCTTGTGGGGTAGGAGACACACCTTTAAGCACACCATTCTGACAGTCACACATCAGGCTCCCATATGCAGAGATTCCTGTTTTTCAAGAGAACCTTTAGTTCAGTGGCCTGATCTGGGATTGAGGAAGGTCCCTTGGAATGGAGCAAAACACTTTCTGGCTTCCGTAGCCTCCTCTGCGTCAGTGAGCATGTCGGCCAGCTGGATGACCACACAGTGTGTGCAGGAGGACTTCACTCCTGCTGTACTCACCCTCAGGGGCTCGTGACATGGGAGGCTGCACCTCTAACACAGACTCGCTTTCTTGCCAGAGGAAATCTGCAAGTTGGTTCCTCGGGGCAGCAGCCCTGTCCCATCATCTTCTGGGCTATGAGTGTTCTGTAACAACTCCCAACAATGGTGACATTTTATCTGCTCCACTGAAGATCTGGCCATGGTGAATGATCAGGAAGGGACTGGTCATGACTCCTTGCCAAGTTCCCTGGGGACCCTGGGCTGAGCAGTATAAAGGGCAGCTGATTGAAGCCCCAGCACAGCCTCCTCAGCCTGCCAAGCGACCCGCTGGGCACCTGTGTGCGCACACTCTGGAGATGAAGGCCCTGTTCCTGAGCTTTGGCCTCGGCCTCCTGGCTGCCCTGCAGGCCCAGGCCTTCCCCACTGTGGACGAGGATGAGGATGTGAGGCCGAGATGGGAAGGGGCTGCAAGTGGGTTTATGGCAGGAGGGGGCCCGAGGTTGTTGGTTGGAGGCCCCATTCCTCCTCCATCTAAAGAGATGCCATTTTAGAGTCAGGCTTGAACCCCTACTCTGAAGGAATGTCAGATACAGCACAAGGAATCTGGTCAGATGGTTCTGGGTGCAGGGAGCTGGAGGAGGCCAGGGTCCTGGCCTCTTCACTATTCTCTGGTAGTGCAAGGCTCTGTGATAGTGTCACAGTGGCAGAGGTTGCAGACCACACCGCTGTGGCCCTGGTAGTGCCAATTTATTTACTGGGTTGGTAAAAGGGGTGCCTGGCAAACGCTTCATGTGTCTAGAAGTTGGGAGCCAAGGTGGAGGCAGGGGCTAGGGAGTGGGAGCAGTCCTAGGTTCTACCTGAGCCCTCATGGTCAGGTCCTTCTCCAGGTGACAGGAATGTGGTATTTGAAAGCTACAGCATCTGACAAGAAGATTCCTGACAAGAAGCTTGGCTCTGTGTCTGTGGCTTCCATGTCCATCAAGACCCTGGAAGGGGGCAACCTGCAAGTCAATTTCAGTGTCCTGTGAGTCTGTGCCAGCTGAGATGGTACCATTCTTCTTGGCCTTTGCTTCCCTCAGCAGGAGATCTGGGCGCTGAGCTGGGGGCCCTAGTCAGACCCAGGAACACCCAGTATCAGGTGCTTTGAGGGCACCAGTAGCACTGAGGGTGCCTCAGCTCACAGAGGACTAGGGCATGGTATGTGGCCCAGAGAAAATAGCTCTGCTGCAAGGGGGCACCCAATTTCTATTCTGACAGGACATCCTTTGCCAGTGACCGAGGTCCATGGGGAAGGGCTTTACTCCCAGACCCAATGTGAGCAGAGTCTGTGCTTGCTCACCCCCTGACCCCTGGAGTAAATTTCTGCTTGGGCGAGAGGCAGAGAGGCAGAGACCAGGATTTCAGAAGGGCCAAGAGTGTGCACAGGACCCAAACAGAAAGCTTATCATGCTCTGCGTAGACACTGTGAAATCTCAGCCTAGTCCAACCTGTGTGCTCCGTCACCTGTGTGACCTCTCACCTGTGTGCTCCGTCACCTGTGTGACCCCTCACATGTGTAACCTCTCACCTGTGTGCTTCGTCACCTGTGTGACTTCTCACCTGTGTGCTCCGTCACCTGTGTGACCCCATCCGTGTACTCTACCATCTGTGTGCTCTATCACCTGTGTGACCTCTCACCTGTTCCCTCTATCACTGTGTGATTTCCATCTGTGTGCTCCGTCACCTGTGTGACCTCTCACCTGTGTGACCCCATCTGTGTGCTCTGTCACCTGTGTGACCCCATCTGTGTACTCTATCACCCGAGTGACCTCTCATTTGTGTAGACTCTCACCTGTGTACTCCATCACCTGTGTGCTCTTTCACCTGAGTGATTTCCATTTGTGTACTCCATCACCTGTGTGACCTCTCACCTGTGTGCTCTGTCACCTCGGTGACCACTCACTGGTCTGACCTCACATCTGTGTAGACTCTCACCTGTGTGGTCTCACACCTGTGTGACCACCCATCTGTGTGGCCTCCAGCTTTGTGTCTTTTCTCACATCTTGGCTCCGGCCATCTTAGTGGCCCCTGAAGAACAGTGCCTGTGCTGTCTTCCTGCAATCTGGCATTTGTGGGTTCCTGACATGGTGGGTGCCCTGGAGCTTGCCCTTTGTTCTTCCGCATCTCCTCCACATCCGCCCATCCCACTCACTGAAGATTGCCCTCATTTGTCCAGATGACAGTGATGTGGTTCTAGTTCCTAAATATCTCCAGAGACAGAGGGTCAGCCATGGGAGCCACCTAGCCACACAGGGGTTAGGAGGGAGGGTTTTGCTTCAGACAATGTCCACAGACCAAGTAGCCCAGGCTCCCCAAGAGAGTGAGCAAGAAGATGTTGGGGCGGGGGGGGGGGGCCACCCAGCAGGTGGCAGGACACACAATGGAGCCACTGTGGCAGCCAGGGGATGGAACATGTGACTCAGGAGGCCTGCTGGTAACACAAACAGGACTCCGTGAAGCCTGCGCTTCCTTGACCATCTTGGAACACAGGCAACTGTTGGCCGCACTGTTGATGCTGCCAGCAAGGGAGGTGTGTACCCGGGCAGTGTGTCTCACAGACCTTCTCTCTTCCAGGGTTGCAGGACAATGCCGGGAGGTGAGCACTGTCCTAGAGAAGACAGATCAGCCCGACAAATACACCTTCTGTGAGTCTCTGAGCCTGTGAGGGCTGCACCAAAACTCCCTTGATATGTTTGAGGCCAGTGTGGCCATCCTAGAGTGCTCCAGGGCCTGAGAACTCATTCTTCCTTCAATTCCTGTTAATACCCATGGTCACTCCCAGGAGGCACTTTTCCTTACCGATGCTAACGGCTGACGCTAAACACTACATTGAGTGTGGTAGATTTGTCTCTAGCGGAGAACTGACTGTTTTCTTAGTTGGGATTACTGTTGTGGTGAGGAAAGGGCTTATTTGTTTGTACTTCCACATCACTCTTCAACATCAAAGGAAGTCACGGCAGGAACTCTGACAGGTGAGGGGAAGAGAGGTGATGCAGTGGCCATGGAGGAGTGCTGCTTACTGGCTTGCTCCTCAGTGGTTAGCTCAGCCTGGGTTCTTGTAGAGGTTGATCTCACTCACCAAGTACCGGGTAACCCTCCATCAATCACTAAGAAAATTTCCTACAAGCTTGGCTACAGCCTGATTTTATGGAAGCATTTTCACAGTTGGGCTCTCCTCCTCTCTGATGACTCTAGCTTCTTGTAATGTTGACATCAGACTAGCCAAACAAGACAACTAACCAGAAATGCCCCATGGGCTCTGGCTGTCCTCATGGTATAAGTTGGAAGGAGACTGTATCTGACCCCAGAGGCAGATCCTTCTGTATGACAAAAAGTCTGGGGACATGGCCATCTCTCATGTGCATGGCTCCCATGAAAATGGAGGGTTCTTGTAACCAAAGCTCTGGGATGGTGAAGAACCTGGGTCAGAAAGCCCTGAGCAACTGGGATGAAGTCAGAGTTGAGAGGTGCCAGGCCACCCTTGAATTCTTGCTGGAGGGTCCGGGCCTTATTCAGGACCGTGTCATGTTCCTCTGCAGATGGGGGCAAACAAGTGCTCTACATCATACCATCTGCAGTGGAGGACCACTTCATCTTCTGCCACGAGGGCAGAATACATGGGCATCCTTTCCGAATGGCAAAACTTGTGGGTGAGTCACATGGCTGTGAGATGGGCCAAAGACACATGGGGTGAAAGGTGCCTTGCCACTGTTGGGGTTCCAGCTGGAAGAAGGATGAGTGTGGACACAGGAGCCAGCATATAAAGTCCTGCTCCGATCACAGCTGGTATCAGTGTCCTTCTTGCCTAGAGATGGAAATCCCAGAGCCTCTCCAGCTCTCCTTTAGCCTAAGTACTTGTCCACAAAGAGCAGGGAGACAGCATGGAGCCCTCACACCCAAGGGTGACATATCTCTCCAGCGTGAGGCTGGTCACACTGCTCTCAGCTGCCCTGAGAGAAACTAAGTGAGCTGAAGGCAAGGTCAGATGGGATGGGGGGTGTATTCAGTGTTCTGGTCCTCCTCTCTCACCGGTCCCCTCCATAGGCTTCTGAAATCAAGGCCCCACATGGGTGCACAATGTCTCCCTCTTCACCCCAAAGTTGCTTTATCCTCTGTGCTGGGAAGGAAATTTTATCAGCTCTCCAGCTCTGTCCCTAACACCATTTTCCTTCTGGCCTCACCTATAGGCAGAGACCCTGACTTCAACCAGGAGGCCCTGGAAGATTTTCAGAACGTTGTAAGAGCTGAAGGTCTCAACGCAGAGAGCATCTTCATCCCCAAGCAGAGTGGTAGGAAGCAAGCTGGCATTTTCTCCTGCCCCCATGCAGGGAAGGCTCGAGTCACTCAGGACAACAGGCTGCCTCTCATCTAGCTTTGTCCTTTAGGGGCGGGCAGATGTTGGCTGATGGAGGGGCCTTGGGTTCTGGCTGAATTCCCTGGGTCTTCAGAATCATGTTTTTTCTTTTATTTTTTAAGTTTTCTTTTTTTTTTTTCTTGGACAGAAAGCTGCCCTCTAGGAAACAATTAAGGTAAGTGACCCAGTTTCTGGGTACACTTGAGGCTATCCTGGTCCTGGGGTCAACAGGGTTTCAGGAGACAACATCTTCTAATCCTGAGGAAGGAGACCCTTCTCTACCTGTGCAGACAGGTATGGCCTGTGCTACTGGAATGTACTCTACCTCTCAGCATTTTGCTCATGTTTCCTTCATGGGTGTTGTCTCCTGAACATGAGAAACCTGCCCTCACTGATACTCTACAGTTGGCTTGCAACTGGAGAGAACCCCTCTCTTTGCGCATCTCCTGCTTTACTCTGCAGAAGAGAAAGTCCTCCTGTGCCCCTCCCTTTCGGTCAGTCACCATGCTGACTCCATTTAAGGCATGGATTGCTTTAAGAATGTGGCAGTCATCCCTGGGGTCTAGCAGCACTCCTGGGTTTCTATTTCCTGTGCAATTCTTGGGAGATGTGTTCAGAGAATTGCCCAAGCCAACCTGCCCGGGCATGGGAGGAGCCAGAGTCCAACAGCATCCTTGTCCTCCCTATGCCCTGCTGTTGCTCTGAAGTCACCTGTGCCTTCTTCATACATGGGCATGGGGAATTATGGGAACTCAGTTTGGGGGTGTGGTGGGGTAGAGGAGAATGACCTTTGTCCTCCGGATCTGGTGAATGGAGTCCCTGCCATCCTAACATTTTCCCTCTGCAATACTTGTTTTGGTTCCACTGACTCTCCTTCTTTCCACAGCAGGGATGCATGGCTCCAGGCCTGCCTCAAGGCATTGCTCTGCTTTGCCTAGACCATCTGAGCACAGGACACAGAAGGCACTCCTTCACTGCCCCTTCTGGATTCACGCACTCTTTCCCTCTGCCTTCCTCTCCCCTGCTTCTCCATAAAGAATTTCATCATTCCCTGGTGTCTCTTCGTGTCTGTGTGTGGGTGAGGGGACTTAAGCATGATGGTTTCCCATGTCCTAGACCTTGGGGTTGTTTTAGAGGAGGAGGAGTGGGGAAGTGGCTTGGCTAGATGAGTGCTCCTCTATGATGGTTTTTGTTTTTGGAGCAAAGGATATGAAGGACTGGGTGCAGGGGTGAAAAGTTTTTGACCCCCTGTTGTTTTTTTAACTGCTGCTTTGGGTGTTCTCATAGGTGGTAGGTATGATGGGAAGAGTATGAGGATGAGTGTATGGGGCTCCAGGCAGAGGTGATATTCCTGGTAGAGGTTTTTTACCAGTAGTGATCACCTGGTAGAAGTGACAAGAGTGTGGGATGAACTAGTTCTTTAGGCTTATGACTGAGTCAGTGAACTCTTCCTGAAGAATGTGCTATGACTTGTCTCTGCAATATGGCTGGACAAAGTTCTGGCTCTATGAGGTTAGCCTAATCCCAGGGAATTGCCTTGGTATCACATTCTTATCAATGTTTGTGTACTTCCCCAAGTCACTGAGTATCACTCAGTAGGGTGGAGAGCTGACTTGATGAATGGTTCTTTTCTCCCGAGGGAGACGTGAGTCAACCCAAACTTCCTTGGCTACCAGTATCTCAAATGTGATATTTTGTCACATTTGGTTGACTTGTATAGCCCAGATGTTTGAACCCCTCCACTTCCTGGGACCATGGATATTGGCAGAACTGGTTCAGGACCTCAGGCCTCCTTGAGACACTGCAGACACCACATGCTATGCAATCTGGACATGCCATGTTGGGCCATGCAGTCTGTTTCTACTCTGAAGATCATCCTTGTGTCCTCCACATATGTTGGGACCCTACTGCTACATGTACCTGCCATTCTAAGGGAAGCATCATGTGCCTGGCCATTGCTGGCTATGTCTTTTTATAATGATTATTCTTCAGCTTCCAAAGTGGTTCTGAGAAGCGCCTATGGAGGCCACATCCATGTTCGGTACCTCTTTAGGCCTCTTTATACCCTGTCCCCCAGAAGATTCAGTGGTTATCAACACATAGACCTTCCTTCAAATGCATTTGGTTGACCTGTGTAGCCCAACTGTTTCGATCCCTTCACTTTCCACCCTGGACTCTGCTTGTTGAGGTTCCGAAGTTCCCCTTCCTTCTTCAATCTGTGGGCTATGGGGGGCAGTCCAGCCTTGTCTATGTTCTCTTTCAGCCTGTGTGTTCAGAAAGAGGCATGGAACTTCCTCTGCACCCCGGACTTCCACTAATCTTTCCTAAATAGGGCTTCAGATATGGCCTGATGGAGTTCATGAGCACTGGTATCCATCTCACAGGCTAGAAATGAGCAGAGCTGAGACAGACTCACGGAGGGTCATCAACTTCTTCCCACCATCTTTTCTGGGGTCAGCTGTGAAGGTGTTCACTCATAGGGAGGATGAGATTCATTTCAGCCAATGGAGAATATTGACCAAGGCATCCTCAGAACCCTCATTCCACCTCCGCTTTTCTATTTGAGAGACAAAGCACACCTCATGTGGCTCCCCTCCAACCTTCCCTCCCTCCCTTTTGGCTCCATAACCCCTAGCCCTTGGGCCAGAACTTCATTCTTGTTTATGGCTGAGCATTATTCTACTGTGTGGATCGCCACCGATTTTTATAGTGGGTGACACAGGGACTGCTTCTGAATGGAGGGAACTCTCATTAAACCCCACACTTTCACTGTTTTGATTTTAAAATTACTTATTTTGGAGGTCATACACCTAAGAAACACATCCTTGTCTCCAAGTAGCTCTGCTGTGTATAGTGAGAGTTGGTGCCAGGGTCTGATAGAACAGTATGGGAGACCACACCAGACATCACAAGGAAGACAGACAAGCCTCCCTTATTGGCAGTTAGGTGTGAGATGTCCAGCTTCACACTGAGCTGAAGGTATAACTCTGTGACTGGGAGGGATCTGGTGGCTGGTTGCTTAGTTTCTGGGTTTGGGGCTAGGCATTTCCTTCTATGAGAGTGCTCTCACTTAGGACAAAGATCCTCACATTCAAATGATACTCAGGATAGGTAATTACAATAATAAGATAGTCCACTCAGCTCCAAGCAAACAAAATGATGCAAATCAACCAAAAGTTCACACACATGTGGTCTTGGTGTAGTGAGAGCAGGCAGGTCATGCCTCCTGGGTTACTCTGTGTAGGATAAACCAGCTGCAGGGAAGCTAGAATACAGCACATACTGGAGACCATGCAGCTACTCCTATTGATCAAAGGACTAAGAGAACACTGCAATGGCCTCTGATGACTTCTGCCAGCTCTGAGGAGGTGACAGCCTCAGGGAGGATTGAGGACTTGGGGTTTCAGAGGTCAATCTCCTTTCAGGGGACAGGGTGAACATCTCACAGAGCTGATGGGAGTCGCAGCAAGATATCAGTGGGCTGCCCTGTCTTACCTTCTTGCAGATGTCTGCACAGAAGGACAGGGTACCAAGCAGCCCATAACAGGCAGTGTGGTGTCTGTCTACTCTTTGGGAAGCACTCAGAGGCCCAGGAATGACATAGAGAGGACATTCTGACAACATAGGCTGCCTTCCTGGTTTCCTAGCTTCTCAGCTTTTGTCTTCCTTCAAAAGTGTTATGATTGCTTTGATACCCTATTGGGTAGAATATTTCAGAGGCCCTCTGTGGTAGGCTCCTGTCCTATTTCTTGTTTTTCCCTCTTCTGATGTCTATCCCGTTTGCCTGTCTGAGTGAGGATTGATCATCTTACCCAGAGTCCTCCTTGCTTAGCTTCCTTAGGTGTACAGATTTTTAGTATGTTTATCCTATATTATATGTCTAATATCTACTTATAAGTATGAGTATATACCATGTGTGTCTTTCTGCTTCTGGGATACCTCACTCAGGATGATCTTTTGTAGATGCCACCATTTGCCTGCAAATTTCATGATTTCCTTGTTTTCAATTGCTGAGTAATATTCCATTATGTAAATGTACCACAATTTCTGGATCCATTCCTCAGTTGAGGGACATCTGGGTTGTTTCCAGGTTCTGACTATTACGAATAAAGCTGCTATAAACATGACTGAGCAATTGTCCTTGTTGTGTACTTGAGTATATTTTGGGTATATGCCCAGGAGTGGTATAGCTGGATCTTGAGGAAGCACTATTCCTAATTGTCTGAGAAAGTGTCAGATTGATTTCCAAAGTGGTTATACAAGTTTACATTCCCACCAGCAATGAAGGAGGGTTCCCCTTTCTCCACATCCTCTCCAGCATGTGTTGTCACTTGAGTTTTGGCCATTCTGATGGGTATAAGGTGAAATCTCACGGTCGTTTTGATATGCATCTCCCTGGTGACTAAGGATATTGAACATTTCTTTAAGTGTTTTTCTGCCATTTGATATTCCTCTACAGAGAATTCTCTGTTTAGCTCTATACTCCATTTTTTAATTGGATTACTAGGTTTTTTTATTTTGCTTTTTAACTTCTTGAATTCTTTATATATTCTGGATATTAGCCCTCTCTCAGATATACGGTTGGTGAAGATTCCTTTCCCAGTCTGTAGGCTGTCATTTTGTTCTGATGACAGTGTCCTACATAGCCAAACTTTGGGTAGAGTGCAGGGAATCTTATGAAAGAAGGGGAAATAGAAAGACCTGGAGGGGACAGAAGCTCCACAAGGAAAGCAACAAAACCAAGAAATCTGGGCCCAGGGGTCTTTTCTGACACTGATACTCCAACCAAGGAACATACGTGGAGATAATCTAGAACCCCTGCACAGATGTAGCCCATGGCAATTCAGTATCCAAGTGGGTTCACTAGTAATGGAAACAAGGACTGCCTCTGACATGAACTCAGTGGCTGGCTCTTTGATCACCTCCCTATGAAATGGAAGCAGCCTTACCAGGCCACAGAGGAGGACAATGCAGCTGGTCCTGATGAGACCTGATAGGCTAGGGTCAGATGGAAGGGGAGGAGGATCTCCCCTATCAGTGGACTTGGGGAGGGGCATGGGAGATGAGTGAGATGAGGGATTGGGAGGGAATGAGGAAGGAGGCTACAGATGGGATACTAAGTGAACAAACTGTAATTAATATAAAAAATAAAAATTAAAGTGTTCTGTTTAGAA